CAAGGATCCCGGATCTTTGGATTGGATGCAATGAACAGAGACCCAGGTTCTAGGCAAAAGAGCAGGTTTTCATTTTTTAGATCTGGCAATTTGTGAGATACATATTCAACAGCTATATGTATGCATTGGTGGGCCATATACTCAGATATAGATCAGTTAAAGCTCAGAATAGTGTGGAGAAGTAAGTTCAGAGAGTTATAAGCACACAGAGTGGCTGAAGTCAGGGTGTGAGGACATGACCTAAAGGTAATCTATAGTGAGAAGATGGGTAAAGAGAGAATCTCGGATGACATGACCATCACCCGGAGCTTGAGAGAGAGGGAAAAAGAGCAAGTGGCAAGTGAAGGATAAAAGATCGAGGAGTGGTGTCCTGGACTCCCAAGAGAAAAGGGTTTCAAGCAAATGGGGCAGGGGCCGGCAGTGTTAATTGAGGCCAAAATTGTTCAGCAAGATGAAGACAGAAAAGTAACCATGGGATTGAACACCTCTGAGCTCTTTGATGATGAGAGCAATGCCAATTTTAGTGCAGTGGCAGGTCAAGAGGTGACTCTCAGGGGGAGCAAAGGAAGGCCTGGGATTTGGAGGATGTTTCTAAGAGGCCTGCTTGTAAGGAGAAGAGGCCCATAGCTACAGAGCAAGGTAGAGTCAATGCAGGGTTTTATTTTGAAACTTTCTTTCAAATTATAGGCGGAGTCCATGTTCTTTACTGAATATTAGGACAGTACACAAGGGTATTAAAAAGCCAGAAAGATCATCCATAATCTTACCACTCGCAACACTGCTGCTATTTTTAACCATTCCCTTCCAGTCTTTTCCATGCTTGTTAACCAAACTGAGAAGAGACCATGTTAGTGATTACACGTTCTGCTTTTGCACATAACAGAAGACTGGCTTTAGCATCTGTCCCTGCATTAATGACCGGGGTGGATTTGACAGATCTAATTGGTTAGACCCTTTTCCTCCCTCACTGCTCCCTGAGTATTTCTCCATATGGAGTTATTTAATTAGACAGAGATAAAACCTCTCATTCATTCAACAAATATTGGTTAGCGGTCCACCTTGTGCACTGCGTTAGTTGCTGAGGGATGGGGCAGTAAAGCAGACAGACACTTATCTCATGATGCTCCAATAGTGTCACTTGCAGAGGGATGATCTCTATTTCATCTATGGTATACGTGTATTGCACTCCCTGGCTCGGCCTTACAAAGCGTCAATTTCATCTGTATAACTTTCCCCCTTGATATTTCCCCTATCATTAGAAACTCTTCAGAAATCTTCCTCTTACTGTTAAGTATTTAGTTTCTCTTTTCATACTTTTCTTCATAATGACACTGCCAGAAATATCTCTGAAATTAAGCTTGGTCCATATTTTCTAGAACTGATTTCTAGAAGAGGAATTTATCTGGTCAAAAGATCTGAAATTTTTTAAGGCACTCAGATACCTATTGTCAGATTGCTCTCCAAAGAGGTTCTACTAATTTAAACTCTTAACAGTGGTGGACAAGGGTACCTTTTTCACCTCAGAGAGGGTTCATTTGTTTATATGTTAGGTTGACTCAACCAATATAAAGGGAAAGGTTGAAGATAAAGAAGATGGACCAAGCTCCCTGAGAAGTAGTATTGATGAGATCTGGAGAAGGTGCTAGGAGGTAGTTTTGTAAAAGAAAACTCTCCTGTGGAGACACAAGTTAAGGAGGGTGCTGCTACAGAGACTGTCCATATACGTGTTGAGAAATGGGGAGCTGAGGGAGTTTCTAGCTGATGGCCTCCATTTTCTTTGTATGCTAGGAACTAGCGAGAGCATCTGTGCAAGAAGCAGTAGGATAAGGGAATTAGGCTGTTAGCTGGGGAGAATAAAGATGATTTGGAAGGGCTCTGTAGAAAAGGGGACACCATCTAAAAGGTGCAGTTGCCCAGATAATGGCGCATTTTGTTTATAATTATAAGTGAAAACTTAATCATTGATGCTAGGACTCTGTTTACAGGGTATAGTGAAACTGAGAATTGGTGATTATTTGATTAATTTGATGAATGTTCCAAATTAGGAATACCAGGTCAGGGTATGTTTCCGACCTAAATTATACAATGCAGTTGTCTGCAGTGATCAAATTAACCAGCTGATTGCCAAATCTCTATTTCTCTCTGTCCCCTGTGGACATAGCCTAAAGGACTAATAAGTGAACTGGACTCTGCCCCAATCTATTTTGGGATAATTGATGTCTTTGTACTTGTATCCCGGCAGCTTGGTATTAAACACTGAAGCTTTGTGGAGAATATGTCAGTAGGCGATTTACTACCTCAAAAAGCAGTCTTTCTCTTACAAAGCTTATCAATCAGAACTTTGGAGGGAATTTTCCAAACTCCCTAAGGAAAATTATATTTACTGCTATGGAAAAATATTTGATTCCATGCATTTTGTTACATAAAATAAATTTGTTTCAGGTTCTGAATGCTAATTTATGATTTTTATTTCTGTCTTCATGAATCACTTCAAAGCAATTTCAGTTTTACATTTAAGTGGTTTTTATTCTTAAAAATATTTATATTCACTGAAAGTTGGACTTTTTTTTCACTAAATGAAAAGTATCAGGGATTTTAACCTCTTACAGGATAAGAAAAATCAATTACTCTTTAAATATTTCTTTCCTAAATTGGTGGTTGATGTAACACAGGCTATGAAATGCATGGAGCCAGTTACTAAGGTAACTTGGCCTCTGAGACCCATTTTGTGAAATAGCAATGTAATTTGAATATTTTAGGAATTGACCTCAATATTTGAGTTTCCTTTGTATGTTCTTTTTTTTAAAAGATTTTATTTATTGATATGAGAGAGAGAGAGAGTGAGCAGGAGCAGGAGGAGAGGCAGAGGGAGAGGGACAAGCAGACTCCCCACTGAGCTGGGGGGGTGGGACTCGGGGCCGTTGCTGGGCTCGAACTCAGAACCCTGAGATGATGACCCGAGACAAAGTCAGACGCTTAGCTGACAGAGCCACCCAGGTGCCCCCCTTTGTATGTTCTTAAACAATGTAGTGACATGTCTTTTACTTATGCGTGAAAGCCAAGGTAACAAGTAGTTACTCCAACTCTGATTCTTCCCTTCAGAGCTACTCAGCCCACCTCCCCTTCTCCCAGGTATTCATCACCCCACAGGGCTGCAGTGGTGTGGGTGGTTGGTGAGAGAGGGCCTGGTGGAAGATTTCCCTCCTCTCAAAGAACTTGCGACCTGTTGAGGTTTGCTAGCAGACCAAAGTCTAACAAACAATAATTCTGCTTCAGTTTGAATGTTGTGCTGATTAAAATGGGGCCATCTATGCTGAGAACAGCTTTTGGCATTAGAGATTTGTCATGTGCTCTTACCAATTGTAAAATGGATAAATAAGCATAAACTCAAAATGGCAGAATTATATCCTTTTTCATCTGGATTCTACTCTTTTCCTGGTCCAGGTCTCAGGATTGTCAAGAATGACAAGTTGGGCCTGGCTTACTTATTTCTACAGGGAGTGTGTGCAACTGAGGATACCTGGGGACACCTAGGCTCCCTCAGCTTTGGCCTCCCACCCAGAGGGGGGAGCCTCCAGGTCTGAAGATCCCACAACCCAGTTTTTTGTTTGCTTGTTTTTTGAGAAACTAGAAATCTAGACCTTTTATAGGAAATCTGTGATTTCTAAATATTGGTGTCTCATACATACATGTTGGCCTGTGGCACTGGGCCCAGTTCAGCCTGAAGGCATTGGTCTGTGACCTCTGACCAAATGGTCTCCAAACTCTAATTTTCGAGGTAAAAAGCCAGATTTCACCGTTCTTCTTAGAGGTCAGTCAATGCTTGTGTCACACAAGGTAGAACACGCTCCTTTTCATTATTTCATCTGCTCAGGCTTCTTTTTCAGTTTTGAAGAAATAAGAGGAGATCTGTACTTGATTAAAAAAAAAAGGCATGACTAAAATTCAATGAGTTACACTGTTTTATTTCCATTTTTTTATGGTTAGATTATGCTGTCAGAAAACATTTACTACATAGTCTATGGCATTTTTTTTCAATGAACATATACTGTGATTTTTTATTTGCCAATTTGCCCGTCGTTTTCGTTAAAAAGAAAGGAAATAACTTATTTTAGGTAGTAGCTATCTAAGGAGTAGTTAACTAAATAATAGTGAAATTTTGCAAAGTGGGCTCTTCCTTTATCCTTCCTTTATTAAGGAGGGAAAGGCTCTTTGACTTAGGTGTTCAGTAAAGTGATTTTAACAGTAGGATCAAATCATGCTGGAATGGACTCCAAGGTGACTGTCCTCTCTGAACCAACTCAGTTCTATAACTGATCCTGTCAAGGACATAACAAGAGTTGTATTTGTTTCAGGTGGTGAATACCTTAGAGTATTTGTTTCTCTCTTCATCCTTGTGAAGTAGTATAAAGCAGTTGTGGTGCATTAATAAACTTCCATTTATATTAGAATGATAGAAGATTAGATGTTCTGGTGAATGAAATCTGCTTTACTGACTTCATTTATAAAATAAATATTTATTGAGAACCTACTATTATATTGAAGTGAAAAGATAAATCAACAAAATAGCTGATAGTTGTGCAATTTATAGCACATATGTGGTAATTAAAATTGTATTTTCTTTCCTCTTTGCTCTTGCTGATAGCAAACTATATCTTTCAGTTGCATTATTTGGGAGTAAGAGAGATAAGATAAGCACTTTGTGGGAAGTTTTTCTTTCCTTTTAGCCTCCTGAAGTCTGTAGTCTTCTACTGACAGTTGGAGACTCATTTATAGGCTTGCAAGGGTGTCCTGAGAAAGTCTTCATGAAAAGTTTGAGGAGTGTTATTGCAAGGTGTCAAATGAGTTCATTCTGGGTGCAGAAATTTATATGACATTAATAGCAGTGAAAAGAAAACCAGTGAATAAATTCTTATAATTAAAGGTAAAAAAATCTTAATGTTCTGTTGATTGAATTTAGAGTAGTTGCCTAGAGTATTGTGTGCTTTTTGATTTCCCAGTTAGCATTTCAGTGGTGAATACAGAAGAAAAATCAGTGCAGATCAAGTAACATGGAAAGAAAAAGAGAGACAGCACTAGATACAGAAGCAGACAACAGGAAGAGAAAGCTCAAACCTTGGCCAAAACCACATTACCCAATGGTAAGTCTTGCCCATAATAGTCTGTAATAGTGAACTCTTATATGGCATTTAGTAGGTGCCAGGCAGTTCTAAAACTTTATATATGTCATGGATGGATGCATAAAAAAATAGATCTACAGATAGACAAGAGAACTTGAGGGGTTTTTTTTTTCTTTTTTTTCCAATAAAGTCCATTTTAGCATCAAAGACTCCATCCAGATGTCATTGAGAACAGAAACCTCAGTTCTCAGGAACTAGTAGACATTTGGTCACCAAGCCAGCACCCAGATGGAGTTAGACAGTAAGCATCCTTCAGGCAGGAACTGCCAAATTTCACCTGGTTCAAATCCATTGGCCATTAAAACTGTTCAGAAGTGATTGGTCTTTGCTATAGCATAAAATACATTGTCTTGCAATGTCAAGGGTTGCCGATATGAATAATAATCATCACGGTGTTGTACCATAGAAAATAGTCATTTAAGTTTTTTACACAATTGATACTAGGAAATGGTTTTTCAGCTTCCCTTATTGGTTATCCAAGATGTGTGTGTATGTGTGTGTGTCTCTGTATATGTATGTGTATGTGTATGTGTTAACATGTATACTCGTGCATATGCCCATGTGTACATGTTTACATGTAGTTGATGACTTTGCCCAAGAGATAAAGATGAGACAATTGCTGTACGGACTTAAAAATTAATCAAAAACTTGCTGTTGGCTTGTAGACAGAGTGCTGATAAGAAAGCTGGAATTTCTCATGGCTAAGGTACCCAAAACAGGAGGAAGGAGGCAAGCTTACATGTGGGGATCAAAAGGTTCTAGGTAGGGTGGAAGGAGAAATGCAGAGACCAAAAGCCAAGCAAGGTGTGACATTTCAGGTGTAATAGTGAAAGACAGCAGTGAGTAGCAGGGGTGAGCAAGAGGTCTGAAAGGTGGAAGAATAACGGTGGGCAAAGAGGGAAATAGAAGCGATTGACCAGCCTAACCTTCCCATGCATCAGATTTGCTTTGTGTTCCTGGCTCTTTCCTCATTCTATTCTTGGTCCTGTCAGGGCTTGACTAGGTAGATCCTGGCCACTAGGTGATCCTGAGAACCCTCATGTGCAGATTTTGAAACCAAACATTATGAGGCAGATAACTTTATTACGTAGACATTCATTATACATTGAATTGGATATTTGGATCATATTTTGATGTGTATCCCCTTTTCCGTCTTTTCCTCTTTGTGCTTACACAAAACTACACAGAGGTAGGGATTGTATTTTTTTCAAAAGAGCTATAAATAAATTCTTCCAGATGTTAAAGCCTAGATGCTTCAAATAAAAAATACAAGTATACCAGGAAAATTTATACATTAAATCACTGGTTAAATAAATATTTTCTTAGACTTTGTGCTAAGCACAAGGGACATAGCTATGAAGAGGTTAAGGGCCTATCCTCCTGAGGTTTACAGTCTGGTGGGGAAGGGTTAACTCTCTATTTCTCTTCTTTCACTGGTTCATCATGTACTCTATTTGAATCAACCTTGCATGTTTCTGAATCACTCATCCAGTAGGAAAAATTCAGAAATTCATTTGGGAGTAGCAATATTAAAATGTGAATTTGTCTCTGGATCCAGTCAATCATAGAATTCCCAAATGTAGTGTCTCTTTTTGACAATGGGATACGTTTTCAGGACAAGACGTCAGTGTTGATTAGCCCACAGACAGTGACTCAAGACAGTGTCCTTCATATTTATGGGGAACATAAATGTTACTTTATTTCCCCATCTTTAACACACTCCACTGAATGAGGGGATACTTTAATAACTAAAACATAAAATTATTTCCATACTTACCTCAACTTTCATAAAAAGTTTGGGTCATTTTTATCAAACAACTACATTTCTTTCTTTCTCTTTCTTTCTTTCTTTCTTTCTTTCTTTCTTTCTTTCTTTCTTTCTTTCTTTCTTTCTTTCTTTCTTTCTTTCTTTTTCTTTCTCTTTCTCTTTCTTTCTTTCTTTCTTTCTTTCTTTCTTTCTTTCTTTCTTTCTTTCTTTCTTTCTTTCTTTCTTTCTTGATTTATGTATTTATTTGAGAGAGAAAGAGAGGGTGCAAGCAGGGCAGAGAGGAGCAGAGGCAAAGGGAGAGAATCCTCAAGCAGGCTCCCTGCTCAGCACAGAGCCCAACTGACATGGGCCTTGATCCCAGGACCCAAATCGTGACATGAACCCAACTCAAGAGTTGGAGGCTTAACTGACTGAGCCACCCAGGTGCCCCTCAAACAACTACATTTCTCAATAATGAAGGTGAAGTATAGAAAATTTAGTTTTGAGACAGGATAAGAAAGAAATATAATGCAGTTTTTGAAATCAAAGGAGATTTTCTTGTTTCAAAGGAGGTCTCTTGACCATGGTGTTCAATCCAAGCTCTTACTTTAAAAAATCTTAGAAGAAGACATGACCAGTTTTGTATGAATTAGTGAAAGACCATTTCCATCTCCAGTTAAAAATCTACATGTAATTATTAATAATGACTTATAACTCTAAAGCAGATTTTTCTGGTAGTACCCAAGGTGCTTTTAGGAGACAAAGAACATTCTAAAACCTGGGGAACCCCTTATTAGAAAGGATTATAGTTTAAGAGACCAACCTGCCTTACCCTAGCTGCTCCATGTTTTCTCTTTATGTCCATGCCTGATTTTTAAGACATGATATATTTTCAAGGCCTCTCTAAACATAGAGACAACATACGTACATTATGATTATTCTTTCATCATCATTTGGGACAAATGACCCTTCTGTATTCATTGAACTAATAGTTAACTAATCTTTTGGCTTAAGAATTTCATTTCAAATAGTTCTGAAGATAGAAGGAGATGTTACCTGGCATTTTTGTCAGATTTCCTCCATTTCAGTTAGAAGTGCTTTTTTCAAGGAATGGCACCAGGAGTGTGGGGAAATGTAAAATGAGCATTAGCGGATGGAACCACTGCATGAGGGGTTGAGGGAGGCAGGCCCTGACTTGTCCTGCTTTGGCCACAACCTGGTCAGGCAGCCTTGGGTATACTTAATGCCCTTTTTTTCTAACAACTCTTTTGGTTTATCTTGTCGCTGTAGGTTTTCAACCTGGGGGCCATCTATGGCTGTTAGTTGTTTCAAGGATTGATTTTTGGGGGCTGGGTAAGTCCCCCATAATCTCCACAAATAGCATGAATAATTTTAAGGACATTATTTTTTTTCCCCCTGGGTCCATAACTTTATTCAGAGTCTCCAAAGGATCTGAAATCTTTAAAAGAACATTTTCTAGAGGATCACTCAAGCCTTCTCAGTGGTAACATTCAATGGCCATTGGCTGTCTGTCTTTATGTGTATGCACATTTCCTTCTAGACCATAAAACTGTGTTTAGCATACTTGAAGGAAGGATTCTGAGCAGGATACTTAAGAACATGGCTTAGAAATCCTTTTAGAAGGCAAAAAGCTCTAATGCTAAGGAGTCTTGGCTGGCAATCCCAGTTCCATCATACATAGCACATATAGGTATTTATATACACACATATATGTATACATGTATGTACACATATATGTAAAAGTAGCACATATATTGCATTAAAGGAAGCTCTAATCAAATTTTTAAAAATGGTTACTTAGAATGTCAGTGTCTGACTTGGCAAAACTGTAGTAAATTCAGCCTCAGTATTAAGCAAGTATGTATTAAAAATCCTTCCCAATATCAATTTGTTTTAGATGTGTCTCTTGCAAGTAGCATATAGCTGTATTTTTTCCCCAACTCAATAACCTCTGCGTTTTAATTGATGAATTTCATTTAATTACATTGTTTACATTTATTTAGATTTATTTTTATTGCTTGTATATCCTATTTACTATGCTTTGTATGCTTTTTTCTATTTTCTCATTTCTCGCCCTTTTTTGGGTCAATTACATTTTTAAAATTCTTCTTGACAGTGTTAAAAGTTTTAAAATCTCTTTCTAGAGTTTTCGTTGTTACTCTTAAAATTTTAACACCAAGTTATACACTTTTAGTTTACTTTTGGCATTCTACTTCTTTCATCTGTATTTTTTTTTTATTTTAGCAGTTCTTTCAGATTCCTTTAGCATTTTTTTCAGTGATGATTTTTGCATATTATGATTTCTCTTATCCTTACTTGTCTTTCATTTTGAATGACAGTTTAGTTGGTTATAGGATTCTAGGTTGACAGTATTTTCTTTTTTTTTTTAAAGATTTATTTATTTGAGAGAGTGAGAATGAGAGAGAGAGAGTACTTGAGAGGGGGGAGGGTCAGAGGGAGAAGCAGGCTCCTTGCTGAGCAGGGAGCCTGATGTGGGGCTCGATCCCGGGACTCCGGGATCATGACCTGAGCCGAAGGCAGTTGCTTAACCAACTGAGCCACCCAGGCGCCCGACAGTATTTTCTTTCAACACTTTGAAGATACTATTCAATGCTTTTCTGGTCTCTCTTGATATTGATGAGAAGTCCATATAGTCCTTAGTAGCTAAGATGTCTATTTTTCCTGATTGCTTTTGATAATTTGATCTCTTTCTCTGATATTCTACAGTTTCACTCTGAACTGTTCTGGGTGTGAATTTGATTATGTATTTATATTTTCAGTAAAATGCTATGCTATATTAATGGGTTTGACATCTCTCTACATCAACAAATATTGATACAGAATATCTTCCCATGTCCATTAATATTCATCTACTTTGTCAATTTAAACTTTTGCATTTCTGTATAGTTGGAGATTAAAGTATTTCATCTCATTTTTTATTTGAACAAAATCATATACACACACATGCAAGAAAAAAGGGTCAAAATCTGGGATACCACTGATGTATTGAGTAGCTTACTAGTGCACTGAAGCCACTCACATCGTGTCAGGGATTGTGGATTGCGTGCATCTCTTCCCAACTCTACATTCAGTGATGTCACTTTGGTCATAATGGGAATATTTATATTATGAAAATCGACTAATGCTGTAAAGCAGGGATTTTTTTTTTTTCTGGCAAGTTG